CAGAAAGGAAGAATCAAATGTCAGAGACTTGAAATATTTCAGGAGTTTGGGAGATTAGCAGAGCTATCACTGGGAAGCTGGGACTGGGCTTCTGCTCACCTCTGCTCCTCCCTTTGCAGCCATAAGCCAGGGTTCTGCTTCCCTGGGGAGCTAGAGGAGTAACGAGAAGTATTTAGGCAAGGAGTCCAGTGGAGGCCTGTAGAAGCCCCCTTCTGTCTGGAACAGGTTCTCAGTGCCTCTGGCCATTGGGAAGCCCACCTCCTAAGACCACCAAATGCCTCAGATTGTTCTGACCCCCTCATAGACCCAGAATCTTCTGCTGCCATAGTTAGACACACCAAGGTGGAATTTGCTCACCATTAGGCACTTCCTTCTCAGACCCTTGACCAATCATTCTTCCATGTGTCCCTTTCCCACTTCTCTTGAAAAGACATTTGCATAAATTACATTTGTGTAGGGGGAACTCTTTCATGGCACTAAAAGAAGGAGCACCCATGTCCCTTTCCCTTGCAGAACAGACTTTCTGCTCTTCTTGGACTACTTCCCCATCTAACTAGTAGCCTTAAACAAGTTGTTTGGGATCTCACATAAACAAACGTGGGACCATTTTATTTTAATACATATTGGTTGTCCTCTACCAGGATCAGCCACTGGACAAGACACTGGGCTCAGAGATGACTGAGTGGGAATCTGCTTATGGACTTCATGATCTCTACAAATTAGAGAGGAGGTACTTAGGGGAGTCTAAAGACTTATAGCACCTTGCTTCCCTAGGTGTTTTCTTTTGTGAGCTCAGAGAGAACCAGCTGGTGTTGGGTCACTTGTGTGTTTGTCTTCTTTTTTGTATTAGGAGGAAAGGGACTGGGTCCTAAGGGACCAGGATTATACCTTATTCTCAAAGACATCCCTTACAACCCCACCTATGGGATATGATCCTCCCGCCTCTTGATTATAACTGATCAAATAAGGCACACCCCCAGGGGCTCTTGGCATTTACTAACTGGCAAAATAAGAAGGAGTGGAAAAAGACTTATATTTCAGGTCTCCTGTACATGTTGAGATTGTTACTTTGTCCATGACCCCCAAGAATCAGTTATACAGAGTGACAGGCTACAGCTGTGCCATCCAATTTGGTAGCCACTAGCCAAATGGCTATGTCAATGTGAATTGATTAAAATTAAACAGAATTAATAAATCCAGTTCCTCTCTCATAGTAGCCACACTTCAAGTGGCCAGTAGCCGCACCTGACTAGCAGCTACAGCATTGGACAGAATAGATACAGAACATTTCCATCATTGCAGAAAGCTCACAAGAATGGACTGGGGACCTGAACAGCATGCCTCGATGCAGAGTGGGGTCCACAAACTACATGTGTCTGCAGGCAACTGGAGAATGTGTGAAAATACAACTTCTTGGGCTCCTCCCTTGGTCGCCTCCTGGAGCAGATTCACTGGGGATGGCCATAGGAGGTGGAGAGCCAGAGAATCTGTCTTGAGAAGCACCCACAGATGGCACTTAGGCAGCCTCATATCTCGTAATACAGCGCTCAAAGGGAAGCCATTAGTTGGACTGTGAAGCTGGGAAACTTCCCGGTGCAGTGATTCTGAGGATCTCAGATGTCTCGTAGCCCCTTCTATTCCAGTAAGATCTTTCCAGACCAGCATTTTCAAGAGGATGTGACTGGAGCTTCTACACGGGCAGCTCCTCTCAGGGAAGTCCTGCTGCTCTTCCCCCAAGTAGTAAATAATGGAGAAAGAGGCTGTCCTACAGTAGCTCCTTCTCTCCTTTTGCAGAACCAGGAGGATGGAAATAACCTCATTGCTCCCCTTGAGCGTGTTTGAAACACAAGTACCTTCCCTCTAAAATAAATTTATTTCTTGCTGCCTTCATCCCAACAAAGACCAGCCAGTGATGAATACCGGACTTCATAGCTTATTTGTCAAAGCAGCACACCTGTGAGGATTCCCGTGGAAGATGAATTTTTGTTTGGGGGTGGGGGGGGGACCTGAAGGAGGAGGGACCTGGCCAGGAATAAATCTTCACATGTTGCACCAGACTGTGAATGAGCGTTTGCCTCACAAGGCTCGCCCTCCTGACAGTGTATGATAAATTACCCTCTTTGTTGACACCTTCATTGGGTTATTTATGGCTCATTAATTGAACCGAACAGGGGCCTTGTAGACCCAGCAGGGGCACCGTACAATGCTCCTCTGGTGGACAAAGTGGTTCCAAGAGAAGAACAAAGGAGGGGGGAGGGGTGCACAAGTGTGTCCACTCCTTGACTTGAGATGCTGTTCACCAAACAATTCAAGGTTTCAAAAGAAAGAGAGAGAGAGGAGAAAATACACCTTGGAAGCACAGGTAAAACTCTCTGGGGATGATCAGCTCTGGACTTCACACCCCACCCTCTCTGCTGTCTGGAGCTCCCTGTGCCTAGAGTTCCGTGTGTGACGGCCCATATTTCAGCTTGCCTAGAAAGTCAGCGTGGCTGGTGGAAAACACCAGAAGCTTCAGGCATAGTTCACACTTTCTCATGAAGTTGCTGTGTGACTTGGGGAGATCATTTCATCTCTCGGAGATTCAGATTCTTCCCTTAGGAAATGAGGGAGTTGGATTAGATGATCTCAGAGTTTTAGGGTCAAAGAAAACAAATGGAGGGGGGGTGGTTTTTTTGTTTTTCTTCAGTGCCATTGCCTTAGACCTATTAGGAGCCCCTCCCATGTATTAGGTTCCAGGGTCTCACTGTGAGGTCTGGCTTTGTTGTTGGCTTCCAGGAGCTTCCAGTCTAGAATTTGGGTTGTGGTTTTAGAAGCTGAATAATTTCAGTAACTTTGGGATTAAGTTAATCCCCAAAGTACTTACAAGATAGTCCCTTGGAGTAAATTCTTTACAATAAGGGAATAAGCAGAATTTCCAGCTGACCTCTGGGAAAGGCTGTTTCTTCAGGGTGCCATTGTGGTCCCAGTATGTCACAGAAGGCTCTCTTTTAAAGTGCCAGGTGTTTCCCCTCTGCTCTAGCCTTCCAAAAGGGCCCGTCCTGTGGACAGATGTCATGTGCACAAGGAATGGCAGCATGGTTTCATTTGTTTATCTGTCCATTGACTTAGTCATTCCTTGACTCCCACAGAGTTTTATTGAATATTCACTTTCATTGTTATGTGAAGATTTGTGTTTATAAGAAGAAGGAAATTATACTCTGGAGTCTCCATTCTTGAAAAGTATAGAATTTCAATCTTTTTATTCACTATTCATTCATTCAACAGATACTAACATCATGTTTTACTGCAGTCAAGGTGCTGGGCACCAGTCAGAACACACAAATGAACAAGAACATACATGGTCATGGCATTTTGAGCAAGAAGGAATTCTGACATCACTAGGTTCAACCCATTCATATTTCTAATGGGGGAAACTGAGGCTCAGAGAGGCAAAGTGCTCTGCATCAGATGGGCAGTCTACTGATCACTTCCATTGTCAGGTATGAAGTACTTTTCCTGAGCTGTGGAACAGCTGGACCAAAGTTTCATGAGGGCCTCTCTGAGGATGTCCCTAATTCCTCTGAGGACAGCCAGCCCAGCAGAAACCAGAGTCTGAAGGACAGGGCCATACAAAGTGTTGTTAGTATTGTGGCATCAGGATGTGTGGGGGAAACAGAGCTGTGCTTGTGACCCAACAATGTATGTAAATGAAGTCTCCTGCCTGGACATGTCAGTCCAGGCTGTCTCCTTTAGATTTAAATGTAGGAAAATTTGATCCTCTTTAGAGGAGATAGATAGTCTGAAGGGAACCACCTCTAAACTGGGAGGTATTCCAATATTGAGAAATTGACAGATTTGTAAAATTGCCATCAAGAGAGAATTCTAGTATCATGGTATAGCTGGGATCCACTGCCAGGAGGTTATATAAGGAGCTTTCTCAATTGTTTGATTGCTTTTTAATCCTTGAAGATGCTAACTTGTCTTAGCAACAAGTAGAGATACTGCTCATATCTCTACCATCAGAATTGACAAAGTATTTTCTCCACATTGCCTGGTTGCTTCTTTATGCCATCCTGTATAATAGAGCCTTGATAATTCATTTTAACTTGGATTGTGCTTTACCAATTAGTGAGAAATCTGAAGATAGAAAGATCAAGTGACTTGTCCAAGGTCTCTGAGCCAGGAATAAAAAGTTGGGATTTGAAACTGTGTTTTCTGACTTCCATCCTCTTCTTTTCCCAGGCCTGCCTTTGCAGACGCCTGTATTTGTGCACTAGTAGGTCCCATGCATGGCCAGCTGAGAGGAGCCAATACAGAAGGAGGCCCCTCTTCCTGACACTCAAAGGTGGGCCAGGAAATACCCTTTGCCACAACAATTTGTTCTACCCACAAAACCTTCTTTTCTTTTGTATCTTAGGCTTTCCATTGCTAAGAAACTCTTCATTCCTGTGAATTAAGAATTCAACCATATAAATAAAATTGTATCATTCTAATCACTAGACTAGAATAGAATGGAAGAGAATGTCTATACCATTGGAAATAGAATTGTATTAAATCTAGTGGGGAAGAAGTATGATTATGGGCATTTAAGACATACTAATCCATATAGGAAAAACTCCAGAAGACTCTATTGTGTAAAAAGCCTATTGTATATGGTAACTTTAGTCTTTTCCTTTGTTCTAATCTGTTTCTGTATGTTTATGATATGAACATATATTGATGACAGTGGTACAATAAGAAAGTTTTTATGAAGTTAAAGAATCCTCATCCAGTTGTATACTTCCTTTTCAAGGAGAGTCGGAGTAAATACAACAGCCCTTCCCTTCCTTCTGCCTGCACTCATACTGGTCACACCTTTTGCCTCAGAAAAGTTGTCAGCTAACACCTTCAGGAGATGAGTTGTCAACAGCCTTTTCTGGAACAAGATATCTCAAGGGGGTGTGGGATGGATACCAAGAGACAGGGGAGCAAGCGCCAAGATGTTTCATGCAGTCGGCAAGTTTTCAGTGGGTAGAACCTACCTGTGCTCACCTCTCCAGATACAGCAGCCTGTGCCCACATGTACTAATGGTCAGTCATCATAGCTCTGGGTCAGACATGACAAAGAGGCAAAAAGAAGCTTCTGAGTCCCAGTGTACTCCTGCTTCCAGAGCAACTTAGTCGAACCAGATCTAGCATGGCATGCCATTTGGGTGAGTTAAACGGGAGGGTTCAATCTGGGCATTCTGGATGGGGTGTGGCCACTGTGATCTGTGATAGGGACACTGTGACATGGATGGTATAGGGCAACTGGCAAAACAAAGTTTTATCACTGTAGAATTTCTGAAAGGCATCAGTACCTAACTTAGCAATTCATCTTTAGATCCAAATTAGTAGCTGGATCAACACAGCAGAGTAGTAAGTAAAATAAATGCCTTCTAGACTTTAAAACTATTGTTTCACTTAAAAAGTTGAGACCAGCTACCATGATAGGTCTGTCTGCCTGGAAATGACCTTTACAGAATTTCTTCTATATCTCATGTAACGATGATAGCTTCTATCCCATTGGCATTCACAGTCTTGTGTTAAAAGGTTTATCCTTTGGGAGGATAGATCTAGTTTTGATGGTGACAGCAGCCACCAGTGGTTCTAAGGAATCAAAAGAGTGCTAGAGATGACAATTCTGGATGTTTTCAGGAGCCTTCAGGACAAGTACTGTTTCCTTCTCCAAAGTGTTCTGAGATTGGTGGCCAGAGGTCAGGGACAGCCTCCCTGTCCATTGCCCTTGTGATTTGTTAAAGACATCTAGTGAATTAAGAATGAAGAAACAGACAGATGTGATGGCACACACCTGTAATCCTTCAAGAATTTAAAGCCAGCCTCAACAAAAGCAAGGCACTAAACAACTCAGGGAGACCCTGTCTCTAAATATAATATAAAATAGGGCTGGGGATGTTGCTCAGTGGTGGAGTGCCCCTGAATTCAATCCCTGGTACCCCGCAAAAAGAATGAAGAAATACACACCAAAGATACCTTGTCCATATCCTGGATTGAGCAAACTTGTTGTAAAAAGACATTTATGAGTTCATCAGGGAAATTTGATCAGCAGTGATATCAGTAGTATTTAATGATAATGGTATTGTGATTATGCTTTTTAATAGGCTTTTTTTAGTCCAGTTTTAGGTTCACAATAAAATTGAATGGAGGATATAGAGATTTCCTGAATGCCCCTGACCCCTGTCCCAGCCCACCCTCACATCCCCCTACTGTCAACAGCTGCTGCCAGAGTAGCTGGCTTTTGTTAGGACCAATGAATCTACCTGACACGTCGCAACCACCAAAGTCCATAGTCAACATTAGGGTTTATTCCCGTTGTTGTATGTTCTGTGGGTTTGGATAAATTTAATGTGGCACGTTTACCTTTTTAGCATCCTACAGAGTGATTTGCTGCCCAAATATCCTCTATGCCCTACCTATCCATCTACCCCCAACAACTCCTCATAAACACTCACCTTTTAAAATTTTTTTACAATGATTTCTTAGAGATGCAAAATGATGTATATATGATAAATCTATCTATCTATCTATCTATCTATCTATACACATGTGTGTATATGTATATCTTTAAGTTATATATTTATTTTTAGTAGCTGGAAAGGCATATATCATTCCAAGAAAAACTAGCCATAGTTTGACAATTATTAAAGCTAAGTAATGGGTCTAAGGGATTCTTTTGATGTTATCCTTACTTTTATGTATAGTTAACAATTCCCAACAAATTTTTAGTGTTTTAAATTGTGAAAGATTATGTTTAATGAGCTCTTATCTTATCATGTGCTATGCTCTGGACTGGACATTTTTGGAGGGGGGCAGTTAAATACATTTATGTACCTAGTATTTATCCCTTTTAAATATATATTTACTTTTTTAAAATTTTTATTTTCGTTATTATAATTATTGATACATTTTAATTGTACAGATTAATGGGTTTCACTGTGACAGTTCCATACATGCACATATTAGGCCTTGATTCTGTCTGGTCTCCATTCTAAGGCTGGATTTATTACATGCAAAATATTTTTGGACACTCACAGCATCCCTATTAATGGGTGATGCTGTCCTGATTTCTCAGTTAAGAAAGTTGTACTATAAATGAAAATTGAATTCCACAAGTCACACTGTAAGTGGCAGACATGGAATTAAACTCTGGTTTCAAAAAAAATTTATTGGTACATTATAATTATATATAATAGTGGATTCCTTGTACATATGCATGCATGCACACAATATAGCCATATAATTTGGTTAATTTCATTTACCAGTTATCTCTCTTTCCCTTACCCTATGCCCTTTCCTCTACTGTTCTCCTTGTGATTTTCATGAACCTCCCCCCACCATTTCTTTTCCTTTTTCTTCTCTAGCTTTTACATATGACAGAAAATATATGACCTTTGACCTTCTGAATTTGGCTTATTTTGCTTAACATAAGGCTTTCAAGTTTCATTCATTTTCCTGCAAATGACACAATTTCATTCTTCTTTATGGCTGAATAAAACTCCATTGTGTGTGTGTGTGTGTTGTGTGTGTGTGTGTGTGTGTACACACCACATTTTCTTTATCCATTCATCCATTAATGGACACCTAATTTGGTTCCTTTGTTTGGTTATTGTGAATTATGGTGCTATAAACATGGGTATGCATGTATTGCTATAATTTGCTGACTTTAATTCTTTAGGTTAAATACTGAGGAGTGGTATAGCTGGGTCATAATCATGGCCAGTCTTCTGAGAAATCTCCATACTGATTTTCATAGTGGTTGTGCTAGTTTACAATCCTATGAACAGTGTAAACATGTTCCTTTATCTCTAAATCCTCTTTGGCATTTATTATTGTTTGTATTCTTGATGGCTGCCATTCTGACTGGAGTGAGATAAAATCTGAGAATAATTTTGATTGGCATTTCCCTAATTTCTAAAGATGTTGAACATTTTTTCATATAGTTGTTGTCCATTTGTTTTTCTTCTTTTGAGAAGTATCTGCTTAGTTTATTTGCTCATGTATTGATTAGGCTATTGGTTTTGGATGGGTAAGTTTTTAAAAAGTGTTTTATTAAAGTATAACAAAATACACTGATCTGTGCATAAATCATATTTGTGCAGCTTAATGAGTTTTTGTGTGATCCCACCAGACAACCCACACCAATATCGAGTAATGGAATAGTATCAGCCCAAAGCCACCTCGTGACTTGCCTGTCACTGTCCCTTCTCAGAGCCAACCACTATCTTGAATTCTACACCACAGATGGGTTTTGCATGTATTTTGAATTTTATTTAAATGGAATCATGTGGTATATACTCTTTTATGCATGATTTCTTTTGCCTAACATTATATGTGTGAAATTCATCCATAGTAATGTCTCTAACAGGTCTTTCCTTCTCTTTGCTATAGAGTATCCCATGATAGAAATGTGCTACAAATTATCTATTCTGTCTTGGTGGAACTGGAGGTGTTTCTACTTAAAGGTTATCAGGAGTGGTAGCTCTGGAAACATGTTCATGCATGTCCTCAAGTGGACATAAGCATAGACTCCTGACGCATACATTTCTGTGAGTGGATCTGGAGGCCCACTGGTAGGCCAATGTGAACCAGGAGCTTGGGTTTCTTTATTTAAATAAATAAATATCATTCACCCATTTATTGTTAAAAATACTTGAAGAGATTAATTACTTCCTATGATTGGCTCCATAAGATTGGAGATAACACCATCCTAGAAGTCTCTGAGGTAAAAACCAACATTAAGATTTTTGGCCTTGTGTACATGTTCCTATTTGTGGTTGGTGAACACAGAGACCCAGTTCAATCCTCAAGGTTTCATGAATCTTCATTGAAATAATGCAGGAAAAGCACTACTTAAAAGAGTCCTGCCTTTGTGGCTTGCTTTATACAGCAACATTTCATTCCACAACATCAAAAAAAAATCATATAACAGAGAAAACCATAAATACTCTTATCTAAACCATCAGGGAAAAAAATCACAAAATTTCAATAAAACCCATCTTGGCATTTGGCCTGCCTGTCAGTGTTATACCAATGGTGTCATTTCGTTTCCTCTTTAAGGACAAAGAGTTCCTATTGTAATAGCCCCCTGTTAACTATGGACCCTAGGGAACTAGACTTCCCTTGTGGTCACACATGGGTCACCATCTTTATACCTGTGGCCCCCCAACCTGGTTTTGGGAGCTCAGGTTGGTGCCAGTAAAGCTTGGAGACCTTAGGCCTAAGAAAGATCTAAATTGGATATGCTATGAATGACAGTTCCATATGGCAGCCATTATCTGAGGATGGCTGAGATAATGATCTGGGGAAAATGTGGACTTCAGAGAAAAATTAACAAAGGTTTTAATCCCATGTCTACCTATGATTCAGCCTTGAAAATATTAACTCTATTTCTCCAAGTCCTTCTCTGAAAGAATCTGAATGATGGAATCAACTTGAGAGAAATAGGAGAGAAAAAGATAACTACAAAGGTCATAGAAATGGCCAATAAAATGGGAGAGAAAAATACAAATAGAGTCTGAGTGCGAAAACGCCAGACACACTGCAGCCCATCCAGGAATGTCAGCTGCTTTTCTTTGCTGTTTATCAAAAGTGTTCCAAGTTTCTATAGTCCTCTTCCAAATTGCAGATCTCCAGAAGTGCAGAATTCCTTTTCCTGCTTTGGGTCTCCTGGATGTTATGGTTAGTGGAGAAGATGGTGGTGCTGAGGCAGGAAGAGGGGGCATATATAGGAAATGACCTCCTCTGCCTCCTCTTCCTTTTCATTGAAACCCGTCTTCCTCTTCGAATGTGGGTAGCACAGGAGGATGCATGACCCTTCCCGGCTCTTCTGTGACTTAAGATTTTCTTTTCCATGTGACTGAATCCCAAACGTTTATACTATTATTTGTTTATTTTTTTGTTAACTGAGTGGTTAATAATCCTACCTTCATCCAGAAATTTTATACTAAAACCACACATACAAAAGATCAAAACAATTTACATGGAACAAAAGTGGTCACCAAGAAAAAGAGAGGAAAAGAAAACTACAAGGAAAACCAGGACAGCTCAGCTCCCTCACAGCCAGGGGGAAGGGAACGCTGTGCACCTCACTCCTCATCCTCTCCTCGTGGGGACTCTGCAGGTCAGGAGGACCATGTGCTACTCTTGACCTCTGAGAGA